TTATTATTCATTTTCAAATATATTCGTGATATAAAAATACATTTGATTTATATAAAATTATGGGAGTGCAAATTATCCCTTAATTTAAAAAAATGAAAGGAGATGAGATGAAGCCGCTCCTTCACCTCACATATTTCCCATGCTGCCTGTAGAAGCTGCACCCCCGACACAGTTACGGCACAGCATTTCCAAGCCTGGACTATCAGGCCTCGGATGAAATCTATGGCGATGAATGTCTCCTCCGCTCTCTTCTTCTCGCCTTTTCTTGTCCCAACTAGAAGAGATCCTCGGCTGCGAGCGTTCAACCCTACGGCATCATCGAGTTCAATCTCCCGCAAGGAAGATGTCGTCATTGTCGGCGGTGGCATCGCTGGCCTCGCCACCGCTCTTTCTCTCCACAGGTCTGCCTTTTTTTATACCCCCACCCTTGCTCTTACATTTCGCCTGAGGTTGAATTAGGGGATTTCCATTTTCGGCAGGCTTGGCGTCCCATCACTGGTGCTTGAGCAAGGGGATTCGCTTCGAGCGGGGGGGACGTCATTGACGCTGTTTAAGAATGGGTGGCGTGTTCTGGATGCGATCGGCGTAGGGGATGAGCTTAGGATTAGATTTATCGAGATTGAGGGGTACATAAGTCGTACTGTTTTCTGGCGTTTGTTAGTGCTACACTTGCTTTGGTTTTGCGATTGCTTTCTTCTGAACTTTTTGTGGAATCAGCTGTGTGCAGCCTTGTGATGAGATCAGTGGATGGGAGAGAACTCCGGTCGTTCTCATTTAAGGAAGAAGCACCAGGGTAAGAGCGATGAGTATTAGATTTTTGAGCTTATTAAGGTTTCTCATGCCTTTGTTATTTGAAAATTTTGATCTTTTTTTTCAGACAAGAAGTCCGTGCGGTTGAGAGGAAACTGTTGTTGGAGACCCTTTCAAGTAAGCTTCCTCTGAATTCTATCTCATACTCGTCTAGGGTTAAAGCTATCAAAAAGCAAGGATCAGGCGAGACACTTTTAGAGCTTGATGATGGCACTCAATTGCTTGCCAAGGTTGATAACACAAAATTGCCCTTTCCTCTTTACTGACAAGTAAATGTGCAATTTACTTAATCTCCTTATATGTTAGCGTGCCATGAGAAAATGATACAACTGAACATCTAGAGTACTTCAGAGAACATTTTTTTTCTAAAATGTTATCCCATTTGTTTTGTTATAGTCAATTGAGTGCTGCTTTTTTTGGCTAATATTTTTAGTCCCATTTATGCATCAACCTTTGATGGTTTGCCTTTTATATTGTAGAACAAATAATCGACAAATGTATTTAATCATGATTTAAAGGACATTTTGAAGGCTTGGTATTATATAGTATTGGATCTCTATGCATATTAATGTTAAGTGGATTCGTTTGTTGCAATTTGTTATAAGTTGATTAAGAGATCTATACGATCTTATGATATTTATGGCATATTCCAAGCAAAAAATATGATAAATCCAAGCAAAGAAATGTATATACAGATTGACCACCTTAAATTTTTGCATGCTTTAACATCTTAGATTTCATTGACAGTATTTTCTCTACATTCTCTGCTTGGGTATATTACATTTATTAAATGATTGCAAAAAATTAACAACTTTTCTATCATGTTAAGCCGTTGCACTTAGAGGCGTTCAAGCCTTAAAGAGATATAATGGAATCATATTGATATACTAATTTCTTTCTCACTAAATCTCCAAAAAATGAAAAAGAATATTTCCAACCTTAAATGCCCGAGCTTGAGATCTCTAGACCGTTCTCCTCTTCTGATGGCTTGATACCATGCTTAGTTCTATCTTCTGTGATAGAAGAAGCCACAACCCTTATTTAGTGACAACTTCCTCGAGAAGTAGACATCACTGGCCATCAATTAAATTAGGATCAGAGCTCAAGAAAGTATTGCATAGGCTAGACTATATTTTAAAGAGTTTGTAATCTTTATTTATCTTGAGTCTAATTTTGTAACAGGTTTATGTTAGCTTATCAACATGCACACACACAAAAGGAGAGTGTGATTTAATATTTTAATTTTTATGAAGTTTGTACTATACGATTTGCATCGTACTGTATGATCTGATTAATAAAAAAATAATTAAAATATTTAATGATTGAAACAAAATTAAACTAATCATATTGTGCTAACATATAATCATATAAGACGATCATATATTTAAGAAACCCCTCCGTCAATTAAATTAAGAAATTATTTGAATTTGAAATTTTGGTCTATTCGTACCGCATGAATGTAATCGTTTTGTACGATGTACTTAAAATCTTGCATAATTTAATCCTTAAGATTAAACAATCGAATCAAAATTATTTGTGATTAGGGATTGTATGATACAATCTTGGATCGTATTGGGACGAACCGAAAGAGGCTCTGGGCAATAATTAATCTCCCAAGTTTCATAATCAATTGAACTAATTGTACTGTACGATATGAGTACCATACTGTATGATCAAAGTCGGTATAATTGAATTACTATGATTTTTTTGGAAGCCCACTATTTAAGCTTTCTTAATAGACTATGTAGAAGTCTTTGACAGTCAAATGGTTGAATCTTTTGTAAGTGAGAGTTTGAAGGAGAGCTTTGAGCAAGGAAGAAGAAGTCTGAAGTTGTGAGAGGGCGAATATTCTTGTGGGTTTAATGGAGTGTGAGAGGGAGTTTCACACGGTTTCTTCGGCCAATTTGCATTTGAGTTCCTCCATGTGTTAAGGTTTGTCTTGAGAGAAGCTCTGTGAAGACCCCCTTTGGAGTCAATGGGTTGTCGACTACTCCGCCGCACTGGGGTAGGTGAAAGTGATTCGGGTTACTCCGCCTCACCAGGAGGGTGAAAGTGATTTGGGCTACTCCGCCTCACTAGGAGGGTGAAAGTGATTCCAATTCTCAGCCGCACCGAGGAGGTGGAAGTGATTTTGTAAGAGATTCCCCGCCTAGACGTGGGGGTTGGAGGAGAGTCACCTATGTTGCACCGATACACCTATTTATGAAGGCGTGTTGTATCCGATACACCAATACACGGATACGCTTCCGATACTCCACCGATACGTGTCGGATACGCCAAAGCCGTATCCAATTAAAATACTATTTAATTTCAAAAGGACACGCATATCTGATACGCGTGTCTGTTGAAAAACAAAAAGAAATCTGAAAAAAAAAAAGACGTGTCGTATTTACTTCCGCGGTTGCGAGCAAGATTCTCTCATTTCCGAGATGGATTTGAGTCTCTTGATGATATGAAAATATTAAAAATTACTTATCTTTCACTTGATGAGCCTGAATTAAAAGTTATGATATTTATTGAAGATGATATAGAAGTTCAAAGACAAACTAATGAAGAAGATAATTATGTCATTCCTTCTATTGAATAGTTGAAACTTCATGATGGGGACATCAGATTTCGACACGTGTACCATCGCCGACGGCGCAGATCGACGGCTACGATCCAGAGCCTCTACTTTTGATTTTATAGTTTATGTCATTTTTTTATTTTATTATTTTATGTTATTAGTTCTTCCGAGTTTGCCCCTGAGGGCATCGTTTGACTTATCTAGCCCCGAGGGCATTGTTGTCTTTTCTTTCCCTTTC